GGGCAAGGGGCAGAGGTGCAGGGAGCGGAGAAGCCGGCTCGGGAGCACTCGTGCTGTGCGGGGTCTGCCCCCATCTCCTTTCCCTCCTCTCGGGGAACTCGTGAGGAGCGCACAGCGTTGCAGTGTGGGTGAGGAGATGTCTTGCCGTCCTTGGGTCATGTGCCCACGACAGCACTTTGCCTTTGGAAAGTTTATAAATAATATTTAATATTTATAATAATATTTATAGAGCTTATAAATTAAAAAGATGCCTACATTTCCTCGATCTATTTGAATAAATACGAAATTGTTTGGAGAAGGCAAAACTAAGGTAGAAGCAATTTGATGTGGGAGCTGGAAGAGTTCTTTTTTAAAGCACTTTGCTCAGTTTGCGTTTGCTTCTCTTCTGCCTGGTCTCCTTTAGCTTGCGGTGCGGGCTTGCTTACCTAGTGACTGAGGTAACCTCAGCACTTGCTCGGTACCGCTACATCCTCTCAAGCAGCCACAGCCCTTTTCACCAGCTCTGTATACCTGCTGGATTGTTTGTAGAAGTAAATGCTCCCTGTCCTTCCTGTTCTTGTCTGCAGCTCACATGCTACTTCAGTGAGGTGCTACCTTCCTCTATAACCAGAAAAATGTAAAGTAGCATAGTCAGCAAATACTATGTCTCTATGTGTGGATTGCACCGTACTAATGACTGTCAGGTCACCTGGAGGGGATGTAGGGGTTTCATTGCTTCTGTAGCTAGAGCAAGCTTTTCATGCCATTTCTGCTGATGGTGTACGAACTGGGTGCCAGCTTCAAGTGCAAAAAATGCCCCAAGATCTAGCAGCTCATATCTTTGTTTTAAAAGAAGCTCTCACTGATTTTGATTGGCTTAAGCTAGCTGTGCAAGCTGCTTGTTGCCGTAGGCACATGGCTGTGATGCACATGATGCTAATGTGTGAGCAAGATGAAAACCAGAATAAGAAATGCTTTCTTTGAGTGCTTTTCCCCACAAACATTTCCAGACTCCTTGGTGTTGAGTCTGGGCTCTCTTCCCATTATATTACGTTACACATGGAGTTTACCTCCTGCTCGTACGGGGTTACTTTGATCTGATACTTTTGTATCACCTTCTAGTGAAAAGTGTGACATAGAAAACTGCATACAACTTCTCCTGCCTGGGCCTCTTTAAGAATTGCCTGCAAATAGCAAAAATTAATCAAAAGAGATGTATGTAGGAGCTGTGATATTAAAGCAAAGAATCATGTTGTCTTAAAATCTATGATCCTTCTACATTTATTTGAGGATAAAGAAGGAATATAAACCCCACTCGTATATACAACTGCTTTATTTATTTATTTATTTATTTATTTATTGGGTTTGATTCCCGTTGTGCTTCAGAGGCATCAAAGAACATGTCCCCAAAACAAGCAAGCTAACAATTGCACTAAGATTATATTTTATAATAACAGCTAAACTATATTTTCTCATTTAAGCTAGTTTACCTGGTTTTCATAACTAGTTGTTATTTCAGGTTTGTTTTCTTGGAACTTAAAAGATGAAGTAGTAACTTGACACTTTTCATCCAAAATACTTTAAAGTCCATTAATGCTATTTTTTTAAAAGTGCAAGTCATTGTCATTTGTTTTAATGCCTGAAATATGTAATGTACTAAACTCTTTTTGAAGTATATATTTTTAAGGTGTTTCAGTGTGTTTATTTTTACTGCAAAAATGACTCTAGGCCTTTGATAACATTGCTCACAAAGCATCTGTCTTTGGAAATAATTCAGAGATGTTTCTTTCTGTGGGAGTTGCATGTGTGGAGATGCACTGTACGCTAGAAGCCACCTGAAACATAGCTGGTGTTTCTGTAATGATAGGGTATCTTTGACAAGTATGTGTGATATGAAAACTCATATGGCAGCCCTAAACTGGCTACTGCCCTTGCCTTTCATAGATGGAAGATAGCACAGGACCCAACATACACATTTTGAGTGAAATGAAGTTTGTATCTCCCCTCGTTTCCATTTCTGATTGCTGTAGCTAGTAGTGGTGCGACTTTGGGGCTGATTAGGTGCAGTACTCAAAACCTTCAGGTTATATTATAGGCATCAGTGGTTAGCAACGCTAGTGCCTGTGATCAGAGAGGTGTGTAGCGATGGGGAGAAAAAAGCAGCAGATGCTGCTTACCTGAACCGGCAACTGCACTTGCCGGTTATGAACTGAGGAACTCGCAGATAAAACACTGTTGAATATCCCCCAG